TTCTTCACTGTCTGCTTTGGTCTTAACTATCTTGAGCAGTTTAGTATCGTCTGCAAACTTCGCCACCTCACTGTTTACCCCTTTCTCCGGATAGTTTATGAATAAGTTGAATAGGATTGGTCCTAGGACTGACCCTTGGGGAACACAACTAGTTACCCCTCTCCATTCTGAAAATTTACCATTTATTCCTACCCTTTGTTGCCTGTCTCTTAACCAGTTCTCAATCCATGAAAGGATGTTCCCTCTAATCCCATGACAACTTAATTTACATAAGAGCCTTTGGTGAGGGACCTTGTCAAAGGCTTTCTGGAAATCTAAGTACACTATGTCCATTGGATCCCCCTTGTCCACATGTTTGTTGACCCCTTCAGAGAACTCTAATAGATTAGTAAGACATGATTTCCCTTTACGCAAACCATGTTGACTTTTGCCCAGCAATTTACATTCTTCTATGTGTCTGACAATTTTATTCTTTACTATTGTTTCAACTAATTTGCCCGGTACTGACGTTAGACTTAACGGTCTGTAATTGCCAGGATCACCTCTAGAGCCCTTTTAAAATATTGGCGTTACATTAGCTATCTTCCAGTCATTGGGTACAGAAGCTGATTTAAACGACAGGTTACAAACCATAGTTAATAGTTCCACAATTTCACATTTGAGTTCTTTCAGAACTCTTGGGTGAATGCCATCTGGTAATTACAATGTAAATGGGACAAACTGCTTAGCACCTATCCTCAAGAAATACAAGTGATCAGGAGGATTATTGATGTGTATGTCACGTTTGTTCTATGTGAACTTTTTTTAAAGATGTTTAAGTTGTTTTTTTAAATACAAATATATAAACTAAGTTCTTTGGGGCAAGGAGTATATGTTACCATGTACTTGCAAAGCACTCAGCACAATGAGGCACCAAACCTGACTCAGGCATCTGAGTGCAAGTGTAAGACCAACAAGAACATAACTTAGTTTTATATTCATTTGGGTTTTGGGAATGAGTTACTTGGGGTTGACACGAGGGGAGAGGAAGGGATTGGAGGAGTAGGTAAAAGTAGATGGGCAGAAGAAACGAGGGTGAGAAGCAAAATATATAGGAAAATTTGGATTGGGCACCTGAGGGATTAGTGTAGTAGAAACGGGGCGAGATGAAGGGAGACTAGCAAGCAGTGACGATACAGCAGTTATGCCAGTGTTGCGTGAATGATTTATGTCTGGAGACTCAGCAGACTCTCCTGGCTGCTGCTGTTACTATGTGGAGTGTGTGTAGGGAGGTCACTGGTCCCAGGCAGGTTCCTTTGGGCCTGGGGGTTAGGTACAGGTGGGCCGGAAGGCCCTGACTTACCTGTTGCACCCTTGGCTGTAGCTGATGCGCTGGCTCTTCTGGGGAAAGAGCCCTGATTGGGAATTTCTATAGTGAATTGTGAACCCTGGGGTTGTGACCCACTGGGATTCATGAACAGGTCCAGAGGGATTATGATCTGCTTCCTTTATGGCTAGATGGGAACTTTTTATCTGTTGTAACAAAATGGCATAGCTCCTCCCAGCTGCCATTGTTCCCCATGCGGAGTGGGGTAGGCTGCTGGTCCAATTTGCTTGAAGGGACAATGATATCAGAGCAGAAATCCTGTGCATTCTTTAATGTGTTGCAGGGTTGAATGCGATGCAGTTACAGAACCTGGCTGCATTAGCAGCTGCAGCCAGTGCAGCTCAGAACTCACCGAGTGGCACTGCTGCACTCACTTCTTCCAGCAGTCCCCTAAGTGTGCTCACCAGTTCAGGTAAGAAGTCCATTTGTTGCATAGTGCATTATTACATGGCTTAGGTCAGCTTGGAGTCCTTTTATGCCAGCCTCTCTCTCTCAGTCCATAGTTAATGCTCTGTGTATTCTTCCGTGGGTAGGCAGTTGTAACCAGTAGAAATGGTCTTTTTGCTCACCTGTCCAGTGAGGTTCTCTAGTATTTGTTAAGCTAGGTATACTTTTGCCAGCAAATGCTTTTGTGTGAAGAGGTTATTCTCTCCAGGGGCTTACTTTAATCTTGAGTAAAAGGAAGTGTTGGGATTGCCATAAAACAGGAAGTCAGCACCTCTCTAGTCATTGCTAGTATATGCAGGTCACATGGTCCATCACTACTCAAGCAGCATTTTAGGCAGATGCTGTAGAGTTTTTGGCCTCTCCCAAGTTTTCTGACGATAGACACGCCCTTGAACATGGAATAGCACACATGTATGCAAGAAAATTCACACACAGCTTTATCTTCATTAAAGCCTGAGGAGCAATCACAGTTTCCTCTAAAACTAACATAGCTCTAATTTCCAGTATGTTTTGTTGAGTGGCTGGGAAGAGGAGTCTCATACAGCTGCTCATGCAGGTGTGCAAATACAGAAAAAGTTATTTTGTTCGCCTTACCCTTTTTTTATTCTTTCCGATATCTTTATGGGTGTAATACCAGAGAGATTAGAACATCTAACATCTCCTTAAGCACTGTCTTGCTGATTTCTTGTTAAGTGATATTATCTAGACATGCAAATTAACAAAGATAACAAATGGCAAAGCAAAAACATACTCAAACTAGATTATATGAGCCAAGCTCTATTTTAGTACCAGTGTAAGCCAAAATTTTGCCTGGGCCAGCTGCTTCTGCCTACTCTAAACTACTGACACAGGAAAAGAAAGAGGTCCTTTTATTTATAGAGCCCATTTCTTGCTTTGGATTGTCATGATTTCAACCACTGTTGACCATCATTAATATTCATAGGGTTAGGGAGAGGACTGTACTTTACTGGTCTCTAGCAGAGTTTTTCTTTTCATGGAAAGGCCTAATTGCTCATCCAGCTGTAATACACAATCTATAGAGATAACAACCTTACCTCTGTCTGCCAGACCAATCTACTGCTGTACTGAATCAGATACATACTGCTCAGCAGGCCCAGATGGCTAGTGTTGGAAAAGGAGACTTATGGGAACTTTGGTTGGGAAACCTCATGTTGCAGGGTCAGAAGTTAAATTGTGGACCTTTGGTTTTGATTTAAATCAGAAGGCTTCCCCTATCTATGGAAGTCCCTAAGGAAGATTCAAGCTCAGAGGGCCTTCAAGAGAATGCCTGTTGTCAGAGAAGTTGTCCCTCATAATTTTTTTTACTGAGAAGTGTGGTTCACCAAAATTGACAGTTACTCTTTTAGTTACTTTGGCTGCCTGTCAGATTACCCTATAGTAAAAACGTTTACCCTAAAATCCATCTCAAAGAGTTTAGGCTATAGAAGAGAAGAGAGAGAGAATTCCCAAGGCCCTCTGCTTCAGTCCCTCCCTAGATAAAAACATGTTAGTGAGCATAGTCTAAGAACATAGATATTTCCTTGCACTGAAGGGGAGTAGTTGTACTCTCTCAAGATCAACCCATTTGAGATGCCAAAATGAGATTACACACACAACAGATTGTGCGGATGTTCAAAATATGATCTCACAGGCTCTGTTGGGCTAATCAGGTTTGGTTCTTACTCAGTAAGATTTAAAGTAAGGGGTGTGTGTGTGTGTGTATGTATGTATGTATGTATGTATGTATGTATGTATGTGTGTATGTATATATATGTGTGTGTATATATATATATATATATATATACACACACATATATATACATACACACATACA